AACACTTCACATCACCAAAAAAAAAAAATAAAAAAAATAAAAAAACAAACTACGAAAAAGAAATGGGGAAAAGGTTTCGATCGGGTTGCCTCCCGATTAGCGCTTTGTTTTACGTCGTTGGCTCGACGCGGCTCATCCCACTTCGCTACTCCATTGATGGCTCGTAGAGATCGATGCACTCCACGTTCTCGGTTTTGAAACCCTCGAAGTAGGGTTTGAGCCTTTGGCCATTGACTTTGAAAAATCTTATCGGTCTCGAGGCTTTTGAATTTCAACTGCTCCATGCGGATATACATTCACCACTTGAAAAGGGCCCTCCCAACGGGACCGAAGTTTTCCCGGAAATAATCTAAGTCGGGATTGATATAGGAGTACTTTGTCACCGACTTTAAACTCCTTCCGCGTGATCATTCGATCATGCCATAGCTTGGTCTTTGCTTTATAAATATCTGCATTCTCATAGGACTCAAGCCGGATCTCCTCTAGTTCTTGGAGTTGCAATTTCCGATGTTCACCTGCTTCATCCATTTGCATGTTGAATGACTTAACCGCCCAATATGCTTTATGCTCAAGCTCAACCGGAAGATGGCACGGTTTTCCGAAGACAAGGCGGTAAGGGGACATCCCGATAGTGTTTTGTATGCGGTGCGGTACGCCCATAGAGCATCCTCCAACCTCAAACTCCAATCCTTCCTATCCGGATTCACCGTTTTCTGCAGAATTGACTTCACCTCTCTATTGGACACCTCGGCTTGCCCATTGGTTTGTGGGTGATAAGCCGTGGAGATTTTGTGGTGAACAGAGTACTTCCTCAACAAAGCACTCACTGTACGGTTGCAAAAGTGTGTTCCACGGTCACTTATCAACGCCCTTGGGATTCCAAACCTAGAAAATATGTAAGCTTTGATAAAACCTGAAACCACTTTAGAGTCATCAGTCCTAGTGGGTATGCTTCCACCCACTTCGACACATAATCACAAGCAAGAAGTATATAAGTAAAACCGTAAGAAATAGGGAATGGTCCCATGAAATCTATACCCCAAACATCGAATATTTCACAATATAGAAGAGAGGATTGGGGCATTTCACTTTTCTGGGAAATGTTACCTACTCTCTGGCAATTATCACAGGATTTACAAAATCCATAGGAATCTCGAAACAAACTTGGCCAGTAAAAACCACAGTCGAGAACCTTCCTTGCTGTGCGTTTGGCTCCAAAGTGTCCTCCACAAGCATGAGAATGACAGAAGGTGAGAATGGGGATCACCTCATTTTCGGGAATGCATCTGCGAATGATTTGATCGGAGCAGAACTTCCACAAGTATGGATCATCCCATGCATAGTAACTTCGCATCAGTTTGAAGCTTGTCCTTTTGAGACTTTGTGAAACCTGGAGGAAACTGTTGAGAAACCAGAAAATTCACAATGTTAGCAAACCAAGGGCGCAAATCCTTAAGAGCAAATAGAGATTCATCCGGAAATTCTCCCTAGGATTTGATATTGGAATGATGGTTTGATCAACAATATGGGTCAAACGACTCAAATGATCAGCAACTAGATTTTCCGCGCCTATCTTGTCCTTGATTTCTAACTCAAACTCACATAAGAGCAGAATCCATCTTATTAGTCTTGGTTTGGCCTCTTTCTTCGTCATCAAGTGGCGAAGAGCTGCATGATCAGTGAAAACAATTACTTTAGTACCAAGCAAAATAAGATCGAAACTTTTCTAGAGCAAATACTACAACTAACAACTCTTTTTTCTGTGGTAGTGTAGTTTCGTTGGGCTGAATTGAGGGTCATTGAGGCATAATAGATCACATGAGATGCCCTCCCTACTTTCTGGCCTAAAACAGCTCCAACTGCATAATCACTCGCATCACACATTATCTCAAATGGTCGAGACCAATCTGGGGCTTGAATGATAGGGGCAGAAATGAGCTTAGCCTTCAATTCGTCGAAAGCCTTCTTGCAATCATCATCAAAGTGGAATTTCACATCTTTCTGCAGCAATTTGCACATAGCATTTGCAAGCTTTGAGAATCCCTCAATGAACCTACGATAGAAACCTGCATGGCCAAGAAAAGAACGCACTTCACGCACATTAGTAGGATAAGGAAGAGACTGAATAGTGTCAATCTTAGCCTTATCAACCTCAATACCTCTAGAAGAAACTACATGACCTAACACAATGCCCTGTTGGACCATAAAATGACATTTCTCAGAATTCAAGACAAGGTTAGAGTCAATACATCTTTTGAGGACCATAGATAAGTGATGCAAGCATTTATCAAAAGAATCACCATACACAGTGAAATCATCCATAAATACCTCCATGAAATGCTCAACAAACTCAGAAAAGATGCTCATCATGCATCTCTGAAAGGTTGCAGGTGCATTACATAGGCCAAAAGGCATACGGCGATAAGCAAATGTGCCAAAAGGACATGTAAAAGTTGTCTTTTCCTGATCTTCAGGTGCAATGGGCACTTGAAAGTACCCAGAATACCCATCAAGGAAACAGTAATAGGATTTCCCTGCAAGTCTTTCAATCATTTGGTCAATAAAAGGTAAAGGGAAATGGTCTTTCCTAGTTACTGCATTCAACCTACGATAATCAATGCAAACTCGCCAACCATTTTGAACTCTAGTAGGAACCATTTCACCCTGTTGATTTTCTACCACAGTCACACCACTTTTCTTAGGAACCACCTGCGTAGGACTGACCCATTTACTATCAGATATAGGAAATATCATTCCTATTTGCAATAATTTTATGATCTCCTTCTTTACCACGTCCATCATGGGAGGATTTAGGCGACGCTGAGGTTGCCTCACAGGTTTGGCATCATCTTCTAACAGAATACGATGCATGCAAGTGGATGGACTTATTCCCTTAATGTCTGCAATGGTCCATCCAATAGCTAACTTGTGCTCTTTCAGCACTGTCACCAACTTGTCCTCTTGCTCCTTGGTCAATTTGCTTGAAATTATAACAGGTAAAGTATCGTTCTGACCAAGGAACACATATTTCAAATGATCAGGAAGTGGTTTTAGCTCCACCTGGGGTGCCTGCAAAACAGAAGGTAAGAGTTTATCAGTAGGCACTGTCAATGGGGTAGGTGTCGAACCTGGTGGTCTAAGTGGAAGCTTGGAATGACCATTCAACTCTGCTACCATCATCTGCACACTATTAGGCAAAGGAATATCCAAATAATCAGCAGATAAATCATTAGAAATGGAAGTGAGGAGCGCATCCTCGCCCTCAACATTGAAGACATCCTGCACTATAGGATCAATGATATCAATGGAACACAAAGAATGAGTGTCAACAGGGTATTTCATGGAATCATAGATGTTATACACAATTTCTTGTCCATCAAACTCCATAGTCAAAGAACCAGTAAAAACATCAATTTTAGTCCTAGCAGTTTTCAAGAAAGGTCTTCCTAACAAGATGGGTACTGCTTGTCTATCATGTTCCATATCAAGCACATAAAAATCAGCAGGAAAAATTAGTTCATCAACTTTCACAAGCACATCTTCCACTACTCCCTTAGGATAAACATTTGATCTATCAGCTAATTGAATCACTACCCCGGTGTCATGTAAGGGTCCAAGTTCCAAAGATTTGAACAGTGAATATGGAATAACATTAATTGATGCATCCAAATCCAACATTGCTCTACGAAAAGTGGTGTCCCCTATTGTAACTGGAACAGTAAACATACCAGGGTCACTGCATTTTTCAGGAAGTTTCTTTTGGAAAACTGCAGAAACATGAACACTGACTTTCACTTTTTCCTTCCCTCCTAACCTGTGCTTCCTCTTAATAGTACAAAGTTCTTTCAAAAATTTAGCGAATCGAGGAACACTCTTTATTAAATTCAAAAGGGGAATGTTTACCTCACACTTGCTGAATGTTTCATAGATATCTTTGTCCTTCTCATACCTCTTCGTTTCTTTCAAAGCTTCAGGAAAAGGTGGTGTGGGTTCATAAGATGGAAAAGTGGGAGGATTTGCTACAGCTTCATGTTCCACTTCCTTCTCCTCAGCTCCAATCAACTCTTCAGCCCTCTTAGTTGCAATTTCAGTCTCTTTCAGCTCCTTGCCATTTCTCAATGTAATAGCGTTGGCTTGTTGCTTAGGATTCAACTCCGTTTGAGATGGAAGTTTTCCCGAATCCTTAGCTTCAAGTCTGCTCACTGCACTTGAAATTTGACTCACTTGACTTTCCAAATTCTGAATACTGGATTTGGTCTCTTGCTGGAATTGCACCATGTTTTGCTGCATAGTAGAAACATTAGAAGTTAGTGATCTAATCATTTCATCAGTTGACATATCATTCGAATTTGAGCTTTGGCCTTGAGGTTTGGCCAATGGTGCCCTATATTGCTGATATTGCTGCTGGCCTTGAGCATTTTGCTGTTGTTGTTGGTTCCCCTGGGAATTCCCATATCTCAAATTTGGATGATCCCTCCATCCTGGATTGTATGTATTCGAATATGGATCATATCTTCTCTGAGGACCTTGCCCTTGGAAACCCATTGCATTGGCCTGCTCATTCTGTTCCTCTTGTAATTGAGGACATGCATCAGTGGGATGTCCTGTGGAGGTGCATAAACCACAAGCATTCAGTTGCTGTGGATTCCTTGAGTTCACCATGAACTCACGCATCATAGAAGTCAAATCAGCTACTTGACTCTCTAACTCAGTTGTATTTGAATTTGCTGCATTCACCCGGCGCGTGGGAGTTCTCTGACTGAACTGCCTAGAATTCTCTGCTAGCTCTGCAATCAGCCTAGTTGCATCTCCTGGAGTCTTATTCACTAGCCCTCCACCACTTGCTGCATTCACCATCCTCAAATCATCATCTGTTAGACCTCCATAGAAGTATAGGATGAGGTCTTGATCGGAATACCCATGGTACGGACAACTAGCACACAATCTCTTGAATCTATCCCAATACTCATACAAGGACTCATCTTCCTTCTGATCCACATTGCTGATAGCTTTCTTAAGGCTTGCAGAAATAGTGGCTGGGTAATACTTCTCTAAGAAACACTTCTTCAAACCTGCCCAATTTGTTATGCTCCCTGGGGGAAGATAGTAAAACCAATCCTTCGCTGCATCTTTGAGAGAAAAAGGAAATGCTCTCAACTGAATTTGCTCATCAGTCATCCCAATCGGTTTCATGCTAGTACATACCACATGAAATTCTGCCAGATGTTTATTTGGATCTTCACCCTTCATGCCATGGAATGCCGGCAATAGATGAATTAGACCATATTTGATCTCAACATTAGCACCTTCCTCCAACTGCTGATATGCGATGCACAACGGCTGTTGGTTCAAGTTAGGAGCTGTTAGCTCTCTCAGTGTTCGATTTTCTGCCATCACTTCCTCTTCTTGAATGTTGAAGATGTATGTTGATTCACTGGGGTTTGTTCTTGCCTCTCTTCGCAACCTGGAAATATTTCTTTCAATTTCTGGATCAAACTGCAAAACTTCTTTGTTAGCAGAACGGGTACTTATCATACCCTAGCGAACAAACAAAGAAAAAAAAATAGCTAAGAACAATCCTAAAATAAATTCTACTAAGATAAACAATTAAACGGTAACGCCTAGTTCCCCGGCAACGGCGCCAAAATTTGGTGTGCCTCAGTCGTATGCAACCAAAAATATCACAACTAAGCTAACTGCAAATAAACGTAGTTAGGGAAGTCGAGTTCGAATCCACAGGGAAAAAGGGACTAATAACTGGAAACCTAAGTGGAAATACTCTAGGACGGTAGTAACCTAAGTAACGAGGGGGGTTTTCACGAGCAATGATGATAAATGAACTAAGTAAGAACAACGAACGTAATGAATAGGTAATCAATGAGAAGAACGGTCTTGGTTATGCGAAATCCACTAATGAACATACAAATTGATCATAGAAGTCTCCTCAATCAAGCTCTATTGAACACCTTGTTGTAGAATTCCTAGATTCTAAATTCTCATAAATAGTTAGAAATAGCAAAGCGCTCCTTTCTAACCCTTTCCAATGCACAATTCAATACAAGCGCTCTAAATTATCCACAAGAAGAAAATAAACGGAGAAATCAACAAGGATTGAATAAATTAACACAAGCGGTCTAATTTCTTCAATAATATTATTCCCTCTTCAAGTTATCAACCAAAAGCATGCATCAATAACCTAAAGTTGCTACTTTGGAAAGATTAATTAGATGCAAGCGAATCCAATAATTCTAACCTAGCAATTGATTAAAGCAAATCATGAAATTAATTCAAGGAACAATATATATTCAATAGATATTAAGAGAAGAAAGATCTCACAATTCGTAGCTAAAAGCTTCAATCTTTAACCAAGAATCCGGAAGATTAAGCTTCCATGGATTCTAATTCCAAAACAAAGAATTCTGAAAATTCCAAGAAAACCCTAGAAAGCTTTTTTTTCTCAAGACTTAATTCTCCTTTTCTCTTACTTCAAACTTAATTAAAACTAAGCTATTTATATGTTTCTATATTTTAATAACATAACACAATAATAATAATAAAATAATATCCAAAACACGAGCCAAAACAAAGCCAAATTGCTGAAAATTAACCAAAACAGCCCGAATTTCTGCCAGAGCCGCTGCCAGCTGCTCTGGACCCGCTGGCAGCTGCTCTGGACCCGCTGGCAGCTGCTCTGACAACCCCTCACTCTGGTATACCCGCTGCCAGCGGCTCTGGCCAGCTGCCAGCGGCCCTGGCAGCGGTTCCTGCTGTTTTCGCCTTCTTTCCTTGCTTCTTCTTCTTGCTTTGCTTCACCTTTTCCTCAAGCTTTCTTCCTTGCTCTTCCATGCTCCATCACAACTCTCAAATCACGAGCCAAGGTCCATCCTTCTTACATAACTCTTCATTGGTTCCCGAGCTCACTCACTCACTTATACTCATAAATCCCGCCTTTTGCACATAAGTGAGATCACAGCCCAAAACTCACAAAAGCTAACAAAAGTACATATGAAGCATCAAAACACACCCTAAAATGCTTCTCTCAACCCATGATAAGAAGGCTTATCAAATTCCCCCATGCTTGAACCTTTACTCGCCCTCGAGTAAACTTAGAGAATAAAACACATCCTCCTCACTAAGGTTCAAAACAGAAGATGGTGGAATCAAACTAGCTCTATGCACTCAAACTCAACAAAACATCCTAGTACTTATCAACCAATCACAATCACACTCCCCCATACTTCACACTTTGAATCTCCCTTTTTTCTTATTTATCAATTCATCCCCAAAATCAACTTGGAACGATAAACGCATAGCCATGAGTATGAATATTCTCAACCGCCTAAAGAAATGAAATTTTTGATAAAATTGGGCAAACAAAAACTCAACTTAACCAAAAATCTCATAAAAACACTTCCACATTCAAGAGTGAAAACAAACAACTCATGCTCTCAAATTCCTAAGATGATCAACAAATTCCCCCAAAATCTCAACTATCTCCCAAAATCACCAAGATGAAACCTACCCCGACACCTCCTTATATCTCCTCCCCTTATGACACCGACTCCGGCAAATAGATGCGAAATTTCCTTGAAAAATCAAATTCATGAACATTTCTCTCTTTTTTCTCTCATTTTGCCTAGGAGCCCTTTCGGGTTTTCATCCTAGCCTCTCATCTTTTTCCAAATCTCACTTTCTCACCCACTCATTAGCCACTTTTTTGCTTAGGTCGCCCTTTCGGGTTTTCAACCTAACCGGGCCCCCATTTTTGCCTAAGCCGCCTTTTCAGGTTTTCGACTTAGCGGGTTTCTTTTTCTTTTTTCTTTCTTTCTTTTTTTTTTCATACTTTTTTCTGTTTTTTTTTTTTCAAGCTTGCTTCATTGAACCACAATTAAGATAGTTATACAAAACATGAAATCAAGATAACTATACAAAATTCAAAGAATATATGCAAGAATTTCTTCCCCCCCCCTACTTGAATGAAGCATTGTCCTCGATGCAAGAACAACTACAATGAAACCAAAAGTAAGGGAAAAGGAAGAAAATCGTTACCATCTCAATGAGAGGGACCTCCAGAGCCAGAAGAGCCGGCATCGCCCCGAGAAGCACGCCTCTCGGAACGACGCAAAGCACGGGATGCCAAATGATCCATGAACGCCTCAGTTGGAGGCTCATACTGCGGATACTGAGTGGTGTAAAACCGACTCATGCTTCTTTGATATGCAAGCAGCTCGTGCATCCCATCGCACACCTCCTCTAGTCTATCATCCACATCAGCCCTCCATCGAGGCCAATCATCGTGCTGCACTCCAGCAGCATCCTCACCCCCTTCCTCATCAACAAACTCTCCGCCCATATGAACATCGGGATTCTCCTCTCCCATGTTCTCAACTATGATTTCAGCATCTCCCAAATAAGGAGCAACATCCGGGTCGGGCGGAAGGAAAAAGTCTGCAGCAGTAGGGCCAAAAGGTAATGCTCGTCCCTCGGGACGAGGAAGTCTCAAATAGTTCAAACCCTGCGGTCCGTATCGCCAGAAATAACTACCGGCGACGGGGGAACGCGATAATAAACCGATCTTGACCAGAGTCATGATGTTATATGTCAAGTATGTCGAGTCTACTGGCACAAGATCCTCAGGGGGTGGAACATTCAAATAACAGGCTAGCAAAGAGACCATGCCACCCATACTAATATGGCCACTGGAGTTGGACTTCACCTTTACACAACTATCAACAAAAATCTCCACCCAATTGGGCGTACCGACACCTTCAGGGGTCATCGCCCACAAATACGACAATGTGACTTTGGGGACCTTAGTGGCCTCCCCTTGGCATAGAATAGTGGACGATATAAACCTATGCACCAGTCTAAGGCATGGGTGGGTGATTTTGAAGCTATGATCACCGTGAGGATCAACCTCACAACCAGTTATAGCCCTCCAAAATACTCGGGACGAGTATGAGCTATGATCACCCCAACGGTTCACCAATGGGGGTGCATCCCAACCAAATGCCATACGCAAATCATCATAAGACATCACATAATTCCTATTGTTCAAATTAAAGGATATTTGTTCACGTCCTTTAGTAAGCGTTGAAAGGAATTCATATGTATACCTGACATAGGTGGGAGCGCATTTGGTCATGAAATTCTCGAGACCCACGTTCCTTAGCAAGAGCCGCACTACTTCCTCCATCTCTAGCTCTTGTAAAGCTTCTAAGTCAAAGAACTTGGTGCATTGCACCGTTCGTCGGGGTTGTTGAAGCTTAGTCCATACGCCCTTCTCCTTGGAATGCAACCGAACACCCATGAAACCATCCCCTTGAGGCAATGGAGGTGCCTCCCCTTGACTTGAAGAAGCCCCTTGCTTCTTGCCCCTTGAGGGTCTTGATGGAGATGAAGCCTTGGACCTCTTGTTATCCCTTCCCATGACTTTAGTTGTATGCTTGAATCTTCACCCTCACCTTCAATTACAAGAAGTTCACGTTGCACAACCTCACAACCACTCAATGTCACCCTTGGAATCAAGAGCAAATGGAAAACCTAGGTTGTATTTGTGAAGGGAATTGATGGAAGGTAAGGATTTGGGGAAGGAGAATTGCTAGGGTAGATGTGGAATTGGAGTGTGGGAGTGAAAGAGTAGAGAGAAGGAGGAGAAAATGCTTAGGGTTGATGTGAATTGGGGGATAATGAAGGAAGAAGATGGAAATTGGGGGAAATAAGGGGAAAAAAAAAATCGGGGAGAGCTGTAGGAGCCGCTGGTAGCGGCTTGAGGCCCGCTGCCAGCGGCTCTGGCAGATTTTGGTGATTTTGATTTTTTTTTTATTATTATTATTTATTTTTTTTTTTTTTTTTTATTTTTTTTTTGAAATTAACAAAACGTAGAGGGGGGGCCCGCTGGCAGCGGCTTGGGAGCAGCTGCCAGCGGCTAAGGCAGACAGAGGGGTTCTGGGGTGCTGGGAGGGCCGCTGGTAGCGGCTGCAGAGCAGCTGCCAGCGGTTGCAGCAGCACTTGCTCCCCTTTGTCTGTTTTTTTAGCTGGTTTTGCTGCTTTTCGCGCGTAACAATCGCTCCCGAGGCCTCCCCTACACAAAAACAATAAAAAGAAACACTTCACATCACCAAAAAAAAAAAAAAAATAAATAAATAAATAAAAATAAAAAACAAACTACGAAAAGAAATGGGGAAAAGGTTTCGATCGGGTTGCCTCCCGATTAGCGCCTTTGTTTTACGTCGTTGGCTCGACGCGGCTCATCCCACTTCGCTACTCCATTGATGGCTCGTAGAGATCGATGCACTCCACGTTCTCGGTTTTGAAACCCTCGAAGTAGGGTTTGAGCCTTTGGCCATTGACTTTGAAAATCTTATCGGTCTCGAGGCTTTGAATTTCAACTG